TAATGATACAGTATACAAAGTACAGATGTACATATATAGCCCGCGAAAGATTAATAATATCAGTGCTTATTAGAAATATATTAAAATATATCACTACAATATAATACACGTGTGGTATGTTACATGCGCTACCACTTTAAACTTTTCTTTTTCCAAAAGAGATTTTAAAAACTTAGTTTTGAAGGATATACTAGAAGGAGAGTGATGGAGATATAGGAAGGAATAGGAGATTCGAAAAGTGTATAAGTGTTACAAGATAATTTATTTGACAAATGCAATAATGATACAGTATACGTATACAGTATATGGCTTGCGAAAGATTAACAATAACGGTACCATTAGAGATATACTACATATATCAATACAATATAATACACGTGTGGTATGTTACATGCGCTACCACTTTAAACTTTTCTTTTTCCAAAAGAGATTTTAAAAACTTAGTTTTGAAGGATATACTAGAAGGAGAGTGATGGAGATATAGGAAGGAATAGGAGATTTGAAAATAGAATACAAAGGTTTGGTGGCAGCAGACAGGGAAGATGTTGTTAAAGTGGAAAAGAGGAAGATTGTTCAAAAGAAAGAGTGAAAAACAGAGATGGTAAGGACTGAGGGAATAAGGGGCGATGAAGATGCGTAAAGCGTATGCACTATAATAATTCCTTATGTATTTATATTTATTAATTGAGAGAAGAACATCCAAAGAAATTATTGTCTTTAAATACAAAAAATAAAAAAGTTATTAGTTGAATTAATTTATGTCCAAATTAACACAATTCAAAAAATATAAATGAACACACAATCACAAATGAATTCAAAAAGAACATATTTGATTAAATAAGACGACTTTAAGATATAACATTCATGACCCATTCCATAACACTCATGACCCACACTTACATTACAAATTACAGAAACCAAACTAAAATAAATAATATCGCTTAGCTGTACGTTGTTCCGAAAACATGATGTACTTCGTAGCCGTTGATAAAATTATGGAGGAATTGTTTGCGATATTCCTTTTTACTGGTTGATGTTCAAATTATCAGGGATGTATGCGATCACATCGATTGCCAAATATCTCCGTTATTCCTTTTACTTCTATGTACCAGTCCCGTCAATAATTCCATATAGTGATTTAAATAAAAGCCCTTTCTATCTTTGTACGACACCCTGCATTTAGTGATGAAGAAAAATATACATGAAAATCAATGACTCTAATTTTTAAAACTTTTGCTTGTTACCTTTGGTGTGACTTGCTGTGCTGCTTGGTGACGTCCGCTCGTATTGGAAGTTCGAGACAGAAAGGGACGACACCAGGTAGCAACAGGACAAATTTTAAGAAATATAAACTCTAGCAGGACTAGCTTCCGCTATTATCCTATGGATGTCACTACTATTAACATTTGGCTCACTTACAGCACGAAGACCAGATTATTCTGGAGGAGCGAGATAAGAGAACAG